CGCCTCCCGCAGCCGCCGGGGAGCCCCGGGTCTGTGCTGTGGTTCCAACTGTAACGGGGTGCGAAGGAACGGGATTTCCTTTCCCTGTCCATCCCCTCCGCCTGCACTTAGCATCTTCATCCCCCATATTCCCCATCAGAGACCGACCTGGAGCGGGGGCCGGCAGCGGGGAGGAAGGCTGAGGCTTGTCTCCGTTTTCTAAGCAAAAAGGTCACTCCTGCCCACCTCCGAAAAAAATAAAGGTGTTTTTTTTTTTTTTTTAATTCATGCAGGTCGGCATGGGTCACAGCCTGCCAAGCTTCCCTCTGCGGTTCTGTGGCCTTTGGCACATGCACCAAAGGTGCACCAGGACAGATAGCACGAAAATAGGACAGGAAGATGGAAATTGCACGAAAGAACATCGCTTGCAAATTCACCCCCAGCAGCAGGTCTGGTTTAGCTTTCAACTCACCCCCGAATTCTGCAGCGCCAGAAGTGCCCACGTAGCGGCACATCACGTGCGCACCAACCTTGGCACTCAGCACCTGAAGTGTGTCCAGGCACCTGCCTGCCTGCCTGCCCGGCACAGCTGATCAGGACCGGGCTTCCAGGCGAGGAGCCAGGTGCCCCAAACCAGCCCTGCGCTGTGAGGCAACCAGAGATGCAGGCACCCCTCCCTCAGGTCACCCAAGCAGGTGAGGGCACCCTGGGCGGGACACGGGCTGCTCCTGTGCTGTCAGCTGCTTCTGGTACGATGCAAGGAGTTGCCACCCTTGATCTCCAGTGGGGACTGACAAGGTGCATCTTCACAGAAGATTCTTGCTGGATTTCACTTCTGATTGCAGTTGTATCAAAAATACAGAAATGCAGAAGAACATCATTGAACTGTGTAAGAAAGGGCTGAAAGAAAACATGAGACATCAACCCCCCAGGAAGGACAAGAGCAACTTTATCAACAGGGAGAAAGAAAGACCTAAACTTCAATATACAAAAAGTGGATAAATGAAGGAAAATCAAATTTGAGGGAGAAAAGGTAAGATACTGCTATATAAGTATTCCAGGCAAAATACTCTAGAGGGAAAATACTCTTGTTATTAATGCCAAGCATGGGAGTTTAAGATGGAGTGGAAAGAAAATAGGAAATATTAGGAAAGACAAATATTAGGCTCTTAAATAAGAAGACTTTCAATGCAGTGAAATGTCTAAAGGGTATGAGATAATATCTCAAGAGAATGTGTAGCAGGACACATTACACAGCTTTTCAAAAAAACTCAGCTTTTTTGTGCAGAAGGGATGGTTAGCACCACACCACCCCTGTCTCTAGTGCTTTAGTTCCCCATCTGCAGTATGCAGATGGCCGTTTTTCCACCTTTTTCCTTTGGTATGACCACCTTGCCCTGCAAAATTTTCACTGAACTTTTCTTGTCCTTTGAAATGATTGCATCTTGTGTAGAGCTGTCTTGCCGCCGGGGTGCAAGTATCAAGTTCATACAATGCAGCTTGGACTCCAAACAGCAACTCTGCTCATTAGTTTATAATTTCTAATTCAAAGATGCGCTAGGTTCTGGAGGCAGATGGCTGGGTGCTCATGTGCTATTCTTTGAGACAAATGTTTTCTAATCCACTTGCTGGACATAAGTATTTCCTTTGTAGGAAGGTGCCATTCCACATAGAGTAGTTGTTCAGCTCACACTCAATGGTTTGTGCATTGCCACCAGCCTTCCTTGGCTTGGCTGCTCTCAATAAAGTGGTACCAAACCTGGCAGGGCCAGGCACAGCAGTGGGAATGGCAAGGCATGGCTGATAACCTCCGTATTGTCAGCAGGAGAAGCAAAATAATGCACCATCATTTCTGAGACCAAAATGTGATTGTGTAATGTGCAATCTGTTCTGAACCGGTTTTGAAATCCGTTTGTTTAATTTGCATGTACTTATGCATGAGGGCATTCCTGAGTAATTAAAAATATATAGTCTCTCTGAGTTTGATGTTCTGTCACTGGTGGAGCCTGAGCCAGCACAAAAATCACAAGTTAAGCAACAGATATATTGCCAAAGCTGTCCTTAGTTAAGAAAGCTGATTTAAACAAGGAAGTAAACATAAAAACCATCTTAGTTTTCAGATGTCTTATTAGTAAGCAGCAGGGAAGAAGGAAATCGATCTTTGCCAAGTGAAGAGAGATAACAGTGACAGAAAAATCATTTTAATTTCCACCTAGTAAGCTGATATTAAATTAAATGGGAATACTAATACATGCAGCTTTTAGTTTTCTTTTTCTTGATTCCCTTTGAAAATGTGCTGCTTCAAATATACATTTGCAAGGAGGAGCATGCAGGAAAGATCGGTAAAAAGACCCAGAGTCACAAGATAATGCAGGCAGCTTTAAATGCCCAAATTAAATCCCATGCTAATGTGAGGGATGCTTGTGCGACGTAGATGGCGCAAGGAGCCCGGGCTGTTTTTCGTTAATTTCACCAGCAATCTTAGCCAAAATGAAGTTATCCTTGCTCCAGTTGGCTTTCCAGTCCTCCTGCCAGGATGTTTATTCAGACCTGCTCAAATCTATTGGAAAGACAGGGTCAGTTTTAAATTCCCCAGGCTTGGACAGTCTATGTCATCCTGGATTCCACTAATGGGAGCAAATCCCGAGGACTCATGGTGCGTCCTTGGCTTGGGAGGAGATCCGAAACCATTGGATCCTTGGGACTTGGCTGCTGTGTTTGACAAGGAAATAGCCAGTGGTGTGTGCTGGTGAATAAGGCTTGTACAGACAGAGATTGCTGCTCAGAGAAGTTTAACTGTTTATATTCTCTCACCATAACCCCAAAATTTGCAGCAATGCAAAACTAATGCGTTTCCCTCTTTCAGTAAGGACAGCAGCAAATTGGGCAGGACACTGATGAGTTGAGGTTGAAATAAATCACATTTTTGAATTCCTTTATCAATGAAAACATCTAACCAGCCTAATACCCTTATTTTTATAGGGCAGTTGCTTTTGCATATAATTTCAGGGGTGTCAGTGAAAGGCTTGTGATTTACACTGGTGTTAGCTAGAGGCAATTCTGGTGCAGGTAGTCAAACACAGACTGATCATTTCTAAATACGTTCTCTCATTGCATGCCCAGTTTCTAATGGCTTAGTGGGAGTTTTAAGTCCAAGAAAAATACAAGAAGACATTTTCTGGTTTATTAGAATGATTTTCAGATTTACAGAACAATTCCTTGGAGAATGAGTGTCAGAAACATGTCTAAGTTGCCCAGTGAGTGCACATGGCCAACAGTTCCTGGAATGTGTCTGCATTGAAGAGGGTCACACATGTTAGAAACACTAAAGGCAATTGTGAACAAACAAGCTCGAGTGCAGCAGTTTGTCTGGGTTTGCTGCACAGTGCTCAATGCATGTTTATTTACCCCAACTCTCAGTCTACTATCTTAAAAATTGATATAGTCAGTAGTTTTTTGCTGTAGAAAGTTTTATTACTCACTGACTTCAACAAAACCAGTATTTTACCTAATTACCAGAAAGTACAGTTAATTAGTGAAAAATTGAGTCTAATCTACTAAAATAATACTTGAATGTGAGCAGAAAGAATGGAAAACATATTTTTTTAAGGGACTGATGATGCTTATCAGAGCCCTCCAACTCTATAGCATCTTTCAAATAATTTCCAAGCCAAAAGTGATGACTACCTGGCAGCTCCCTCTGTAGCTTTAGTGATTTTTCTGAGTGGATGCATGTCTATATCACAAAAACACTGATGGAAGTGGCAGTAATTAGATTGGACAAATCCACAGATTACAAGTCAGGCTTCAGGTAACTGCTTTTTGGGCCAAAATGCACTGTTGCTGAGACAGTATTTGTTCTGTAAATCAGAAGAGAATTATCAACCATCTCACATTTCATGATGATGGACACAACACAAAAGCCTGGGTAGACATGAACACGCAGCATGAAGAGCAATCTAACAAACAGAACATATCTCCCTCTCAAAAGAGTGAGCCAGAAAACAAGATCTGAGTTATCAGATACGCTAATTAATGGACCTCCCTTTGGGAAGCTATTTGGATGAACAAAAGTAATGAGAAAAACCATAGGAGTTTATAATCCATATGCAATATTCAGAAGATGCAGTTTAATGTAAGGGGGTGTAAGAGTTTACATTTTTGAGAAATTCACAGCAAGGAGAGGTATAACATAATGGTCATTTAAGGGGAGAAGAAAAAGCTCCTATTGGCCAGAGCAAAGAACAGATTAACTGAGTTTTAGGCACAATGCAGCTTGGAAAAAACTGTTCTTTATGGAATACTTGAGAGTAGAAATGCAGGAGGGAGACAGGAGTTACATATTGTCAGGCTGCATCACATCAGTAATACCCTCCTGGGGTACTGGAGTTCCACTTACAGGTTAGAGTGTTTGGGAAAAGAAAGGCAAGAAAAAGTAACTAAAATTACTCAAGGCTGTAAGAATTGAATCTTTATCAACTCAAAGCTTCAAATTGGGGCAGAAAATCAGGTATGTCTACTTTCCCAGACTCTCCTGAAGCTACAGATATAAGCCCTCCTATGTTTTCAGGGGAGATAACAGCAGAGGATGGACAGATCTGTTTGCCTTTGGGTTTACTTAGAGGCCCTCTCAGCCTCTCTCTAGTCATCTGGCTTATGGCACAGGCAATTACATTTGGGGTAGTCTTTGTGCTATTGCCTCACACACTGCTGGCCTGTCCTTGTGCGGCTCCTGATCCAAACCTGACACCTCATCCAAGAAAAAGAGGGAAGACGGTTTGTGTGATGATGCAGGAACTGGTATGGCCTGGTCATAGGGACCATATTCACTGTATTCCCCAGGCTGAATTTCATTCTGTACCTAGCTGAGGCTGTGTTTGATACCAGCTGGATTTATTCTTGATGTCATTGTCAGCTAGAGCGACTTGGGGTTTCTAAGATACCATGAGAGCAAGTTATATGTCCCTTGGTTTTACAGTGGGGTTGGGGCTTGGGAAAGCTCAGTCATACTCCTGCCTGTGGCAGTGCTTCACTAACCAGGTTTGGGTGATTTACTTATTTCTTCTGTCCAGGATGAGTAGAAAGGGGATGTGATTGCATTGCTGTATTGTTGTGAATGTAACTGTGAAATACTGCAAGTTCTTGAATATCATCCTTTTTCAGATATCAGCCAACTGTTACTGGCTCTTAGGGAGAAGAACATGTGATTTGACAGATACGTTTCCCTGACGAGAAGAGTCAAGCTGTTTAGAGAATGAAGGTACTCCTAAAATTGCTACTTGCATAAACCCCAGATGCACTTTTGTTGTTCAATTTTATCAACAGGAATTTGAAAACCTGGAATAAACTCAGCAGGCAAGTTAAGAAAAAGGAGGTTCAAAGAAGTTATCTCTGACCTAATTGTCTGTGGACACTTTTGATACATGTCTTTTGGATTAGAGAGCAGAAGAGAGCTTATGTTAGGTACATGTTCATCCTAACCGATAGCTAATATGGCTCAGCTGTGTTTCCATCAGATTTCAAAAGAGAAATTCCATGAAATTTTAATGCCTTCTCCTTTCTACCTGGTACAATGGTGAAGAAGTCTATAATTTTTTTTGTTTGACTCTTTAAATATGCTAATCTAGTCTTTTTTTAAGTTAATGCAGGGAGAGAGAAGTATACAAATTAATTAGACCCTTCCCTTTCCCTTCCCTTTCCCTTCCCTTTCCCTTCCCTTTCCCTT